TGGAGATAGCCTTAGATACCACAGGTTAAGGGGTCAATCCTACAAGATGGCCCACCTAACACCCCACTGCCCTCCGCCCCCCACCTTCTGATGCTTGTCACAAATCCAGGTTATCATTTGTGCTTCTGACCAACCAGCTATAGACTGGAGGTTCCAATGACTCCCTCCTTGGACTTCAGAGCCTCTCTGTAAGTCCAGGTTGCTATCTGTACTTTTGACAGACTGGATATAAATCTGTGGTTTCCACAATTGCCTCCTTGGGTTCAATTAATTTGCTAGAGCGGCTTACAGAATTCAGAGAAACATTTTACTTACTATATCACTGGACTATTATAAAAGGATATAACTCAGGGACAGCCAGATGGAAGAGGTGCAAAGGGCAAGGAACAGAACAGCGTGTGGAGTTTCCAGCCCTCTCTAAAAGCATGCCATTCTCCCCAAATATCCATGTGGTCACCGGCAAAGAAGCTCTCTTTTGGGTTTTTATGGAGGCTTCCTTTCATAGGCATGCTTGATCAAATCATTGGCCATTGGCGATTGATTCAACATCAAGCCCCTTTTTTTGCCCTGGAGGTCAGGGGGTGGGACTGAAAGTTCCAGCACTCCAATGGGTTGGTTCTCCTGGTAACCTGCCCTGAACCTAGGTGCTTCCAAAAGTCACCTCATTAACATAACAAACACCATCGCTGTTGCTCCCCAAAGCTTAGGAAATTCCGGTGGTTTTTGGAGCTCTGTGGGGAAGAAGACCAAAAATATATCTACGTCTTATTATAAATCACAGTATCACACAACACTATAGGACAACAAGGTGAACATACATTTATACCTTTTTGTGTGCTGATTTGTACACTTCAAGATAGCTTTATCTTTATTCATGTTAAAATGAATTTCAGCTCTGTAAAAACCAGGTAACATAAATATTTATTTTTGAAGGAGAGACAGAGTGTGAGTGGGGGAGGGGGAGGGGAGAGAGAGAGGGAAACACAGAATCTGAAGCAGGCTCCAGGCTCTGAGCTGTCAGCACAGAGCCTGACATGAGGCTCAAACCCACAAACCATGAGATCATGAACTGAGCGGAAGTCAGACACCCAACCGACTGAGCCACCCAGGCGCCCCCAAAAACCAGATAAAATAGCACAATCTCCCCTAGGTTTACACAGTAAGTGCTTTTTCAGAATTCAGTGAATATTAAAACCATGCAAAAAAAAAAAAATGCTTGATGTCTATATGTAAAATCCAAGTTAGGGCCCAAGCTCAACTAAATTATAAATAGATTTTTGTCCTACACAATTGTCTGGTGAGACATTTGGAAGTTGGATAGGATTTTGTTGAGCAGGACAGCTCCTTCCATTGTAGAATATCTAGAGTCTGCATCCCCCAAACAACCTCACACATTTCTGGCATGCTCTGCCCTAGGGGGAGGTAAGGCTGAGGCCCGTGGCCCAATGGTCAGTGACAATGTCTTCTGTCTTTGTCTTTCCACGGTCTGTGTGCCCACCTGCCAGTTCTCTGTGTCCAGTGCTCACGTGCGGCCTTGCTATCTTGCTCTGGGTATGGCTAAAAGGAAATCACTGTGAGACCTTTTGGGACCAGGTTGGAAACATTATACCCTCTCCTCGTTTCAAAAGAGAAAGCCTGGTACTTTATTCCTATGCGGACCATCCTAATGCTGTGAGCAGATCTTTGGCTTTTGAGATGTTGTTACATTTTGGTTTTGTTTTCTAAAGAGCTAGTGCCAAAGCGAGGGTGCTTAAATCCACTGTTTCTTTGGCTCTGCTTCTCTTTGGCTTTGGGGAGAGATGCTGATGCTAATGCTGTTTGGCTGGATCAGGCTGCCTCCTCGTCCGTTAGAAACCACTCGCTCTTTGCATTTCCTGCTCCACTCCCCTGAGCGTACCTTGTCTGCCAGCCTTTCTCTGGGGTCAGCTGCAAGGCAACCTACTGACAATTTGCCTCTGGTAATGTTACCTTGTTTAACCGCACACCCTGGGGGAAGAATGACTGAAGTGGGGGAGAGAACAGCCTGAAGCAGGGAGGGTATAAGTGGTCAGGGTGATCCCTTATGAATACTCTCCTCCCGTTTCTTTAAGACCTGCCTCGCTCACTAGCGGCTTGTCTGACGGGCCCTGGGAAAGGCAGTGCTGGGAAGGGCTGGTCACAGGAGCTCCTCTGGAGGACAGAGGCCTCGTGTTGCTCCCTTGGGCCAGGCCAAGGGGACCCTGGGTTGTGGAGAGGATGCAGGCAGGAGGGGACGGTGGGGAGAGAGGACCCCAGCCCAGACCATGCCGGGAAGAACCTGGGAAGGACCGCATCCAGGCATCTGGGAGTGATTTCCTCCGTCTGTCAGAACCAATGCATATCTCAGATGTTTTTACTCCGCGCCTAGCTTTCTGCCTCTTGCCATCATTTTCTTGAGATGTTTACCAGGAGCTCTAGGCCAGCCACGTGGCAGCAGCCTCATTTGTTTTTATTTAGTTCATATGAGTTTGAGCTGTTTTGCACATAAAAAGAACCAAAGGAACATTAACTGCTAACCACTCATAACCCCTCATGTGCACGTTGGAGCTTCGGCGGTGCACACGCTTGCTCTGTGGGAACAGACTGTGTGGGGTTCTGTTTCATTCATTTTGCATCATTTCAGGTACACCTGGCTCACACGCTCGCATCTCAGTGCCCGGGTAGGGCTCTTCTGCGAGAAAACATCACAAACCTGGCCACTCGTGTATCGTGTGCGGTCTCGAGATACCAAATTTCCTTTCGTGTAAAATCACAACGTTTGAACCTTTTCTGTCATATTTTATCTGGAGGTTCCTCCCCAAAGGAATTGCCACATTAAAGGGTATGAACTCTGTGGCTCCATTTATAGGCTCCTAGATTATTTCAGGATGATCGGTCCAACTCTCACTGCCCTCGGGGAAGCAGGATATCGTTCCTGCTGCCGCCACTCCGTCATTCATCCCGTACGGGTGTTTGCTGTGTACCTACTGTGTGCAACATTCTGCCAGAAGCCTGGGAAATGGCAGAAAGGACGCAGGCCCCGGTGCCTGGCCCCTGGCCTCGTGGGGCTCCCAGTTTCCGTTGTTCCTCAACACGTGGTTCTGGAATCGCCTGGAGGTGGTGCTTATTAACAACGCAGGTTCCCGGGACTCGCCCCCAACTACTGAATTGGAATCTCCAGGTCCCGAGCCCTGGAACTCGCCTTTCTGATAAAATCTCCCGATGCACATTACACGTGAGCACCACTCATCTAATGGAATGAGTGAAAGTTCCCTTTTGCTTAGAAGGAAACATGAAGGACCCAGGATGGGGTGTGGGAGACTGGCTTGGCGGGTCAGCCAGAGCAGGGAGATGACAGAAGTGTGCAGGACTTCTTGCCAGACTGTCACCTCCCACAGGACATACACAAAGCCACCCAACTCAGGGCAGGCTGTGACTAATGAGCAAATCAAGTAGATAATTTTTTGCTGCAGCTGAGCGGGTCCCTCCCGCGGGTGGAGCAGCCTGGGCCACAGAGCAGGATTAGAGCATCTTCTGGTGTTGAGATCACTGTTTCAAATTAGGTGAGCGCAGCCAAGCAGCTGGGGACGGAGCGTGTGGTTCTGCTCGGGGAGGGAGCCACGGGAGGCGTGCGCTCACCCCCTCTCCGTGTGTGATCAGATGAGGCCAGGGAGCAGTGAGCCGGCCTGTCCCCAGACTGTGAAGTCGGGAGAGGGCTCAGGCCGGCTGTGCTGGAGTGGCTCGGGCAGGCCAGGAGCAGGACCGGCTGGGTGACTGCGAGTTGTTGTTGTGGTTCTCAGAGGAGATCTAAACCTTCGAAGGCCGAGTGTGTGGCCCCGGGAATTCCCCCAGGCTTGTGACATCCAGTGGCCCAAACGGAGGTATACTCAGCCTTCTACAGACAGGGACGACCTCGTACGTAACATACCAACCTGGAGCCCTGGTGTCTTCCATAGCGCACAGCCTGGGTCTGGATGTCCAACATCCTGCAGGCATTTTCTTGGGTGCCGCCATTGTGCGATGGCCCCGGGCCCTCCGGTGGTCTCAGCTTTCGTTTATTTTCCTATCTGGAACGGTCTCCTTAAGGGGGTGCAGGCACGTACCCCAGACCAAAAGTAGGCTGGGGCCTTATTGCAGTGCCCCTGACGGACACCGACATCCTCTTTATGACTCACAGCAAGCCAGGTGTCTGACTTTGCTCAGGGCAGTGGTCGCCGGAGCCTCCATTTTCACTAACGCCTGGGTCACTGCACGTGTTAGAGTCCGAGTTCATGTGTGCCTCCATGTGTGCCTCCATTTCTTAATGCAGGAAAATGAACGTCCATCTCTGTTTCTGGCCTGATCACATAAAGACAAGATGGTGGAACCCGCATAGGCCAACCTTTGGATACCACGGTGGCTTCCAGGTGAGCACAGAGGTGAAGGTGTTAGGCCCCAGGGTGTGCCATCCCTCAGGGCCTTTCTACTGAACCCCGACCACACGCACTCACGTCATTTGATCAAGGGCATCTCCTGTTTTCCAGTGACCCGGGGTGTTGATGGGGATTAGCATAGCTATAGAAAGACCACGCCAAAATACACGGAAGTGTCTGTGACCTCATTTATACGAACTCAAACTGCTTACCATCTGTGCTGGGAAACAGAGGATGCTTGTGCATGTGTGTGTATGTGTGTGCATGTTTCCTAAAAGAGCACAACTGAAATATTTGGTTGAAGAGTGGAGAACTAAAGGAAACAATTGGGGAAGACCATCGATTGATCAGCAGCCATGCTGTATTTGGTGTGGGCTTGAAAGGAATCATTCATCATAAGCAATCAAAAAGAGAACGGAGGAGAGAGCAAACACTTCCCGCCCTTAAATCGCTCACTGTTGCCTTTCACGGGAACAGTTTCTCACACAGAAAAATCTGTTTTCGGTTGGACTGAAAAACTGCCCCATGAGTCATAAACGTCTCTATATTTGTAAGGCTCTTCACAGTTGACAAAGCATTTTTGCAAAGTTTTTTTCATTTGATCCTACCCACGGGGTGGAATGACTAATCCAAGACCGCACAGACAGAGAAAATGGCACAGCGGAGCCGGATTCCGACCCCAGTGAGGCCTTGGTGAGTTCACGGGGTGGCTGGATCTCTGGGACCAAGGCTGCTGTGATCGTCTGGGGTGGGGGGGGTGGGGAGCTGTTGAGCTTGACGTAGGAGAGGTTCATATTTTACATATTTTACATCTTGCCCTGATTTTGGATCTAGGAAAAAGTCTCAACCTCATTTTCCATCCCAGGCTGAGGGCGGTGACATGGGCCTCAGCCTCAGCAAGCATAAAGGGTCAAGTGGGCTTTCTTATTCTATGGGTAAAGGGATCGTGTCAATATCCAAACAGCAAAAAATGGATTCCTGGAGTAGTTTTCAGACACAGCCGTTCATCTGACTCATTCCTTTCAGGAGCAATTCTGTTTCACCTCCCCAAAGGGGGGTCATTCCATTCCCCCCTCTCAGCCCCGCCCCCCAGTGCCTGTTAGCTCCCACAATGGGAGATGAGCTCCACCAACAGTGCAAACCCACTATCAGCTTTGCTTTAGCATGGATATTTCTTTAAGTTTTTATTTTAATTCCAGTTAGTTAGCATACAGTGCTATATTAGTTCCAGGTGTTATATTAGTTCCACTGTATGATACAGTGATTCAACACTTACATACATCAGCCGGGGCTCATCAGGCCAAGTGCACTCCTTTGTCCCCCTCACCTGTTTCCCCCATGTCCCCCCTGCCCCCCACCTCCCTTCTGGGAAGCCTCAGTTTGTTCTCTAAAGCGAAGACTCTGTTTCTGGGTTTGTCTCCCTTGTTCCTCCCTTTGCTCTCTTGTTTCTTACATTCCATGTATGAGGGGAAATCGTACGGCGTTTGTCTTCCTCTGAGTGACTTATTCCACTTAGCATTATCCTCTCTTGCTCCGTCCATGTCATTGCAAATGGCTGAATAATATTTGGGGAAGTTCCTCACTGTTTTGCACAGCGGCCTGCACCAGTTTGCCTTCCCACCGGCGGTGCAACAAGGTTCCTTTTTCTCCACATTCTTGCCAATATCCGTTGCTTCTTCTGTTGCTGATTTTAGCCATTCTGGCAGGTGTGGGGTGACATCTCATTGTAGCTCTGATTTGCATTCTCCTGCTGATCAGTGGTGATGAGCGTGTTTTCAGGGCTCTTTTGGTCACCTGGATGTTGTCTTTGCAGAAATGTCTGATAATGTCTTCCGCCCGTGTTTTAATTGGATTTTCGTGTGCGTCGAGTTTTGTAAGTTCTTTCTATATTTTGGATACCAACCCCTTATCAGATGTGCCGTTCGCAAATACCTTCTCCCATTTGGCAGCTGCCTTTTTGTTTTCTTGTTCCCTTCACTGTGCAGAAGCTTTGTATTTTTTTTTTAATTTAAAAAAAAATTTTTTTTTTTAACGTTTATTGATTTTTGAGACAGAGAGAGACAGAGCATGAATGCGGGAGGGTCAGAGAGAGAGGGAGACACAGAATCGGAAACAGGCTCCAGGCTCTGAGCTGTCAGCGCAGAGCCCGACGCGGGGCTCGAACTCACGGACCGCGAGATCGTGACCGGAGCCGAAGTCGGCCGCCCAACCGACTGAGCCACCCAGGCGCCCCGAAGCTTTGTATTTTGATGTAGTCCTAATAGTTAATTTTTGCTTTTGTTTTCCTTGCCTCAGGAGACCTATCTAAAAAAAAAGTGGCTACAGCCTATGTCAGAGAAGTTACTGCCTGTGCCCTTTTCTAGGATATTTATGGTTCCAGGTCTCACATTTGGGTCTTTAGTCCATTTTGAATTTCTTTTGTGTGTGGTGTAAGAAAGTGGTCCAGTCTCATTCTTTGGCCTGTGGCTGTCCAGTTTTCCCAACACCATTTGTTGAAGACACTGTCTTTTTTCCACTGGATATTCTTTCCTGTTTTGTCGAAGATTAATTGACCATAAAATTGTGAGTTTCTTTCTGGGTTTTCAATTCTGTTCCATTGATCTCTGTGCCCCTTTCTGTGCTGGTACTATACTGTTTTGATTACTTCAGCTTTGTAATGTAACTTGGAGTCTGGAATTGTGATGCCTCCGGCTTTGCTTTTCCATTTTAAGATTGCTTGGGCTATTCAGGGTCTTCTGTGGTTCCATACAAATTTTAGAATCGTTTGTGATCGTCCTGTGAAAAATGCTGTTGGGATTTTGGTAGGGATTGCATTGAATGTGTAGATTCGGCATGGGTATTTCATGGTTTCTAGATCATTCCCATCCCTGGGGCACAGAGGTCATCCTCAGAAGCATGGAGGTTAATACTATGAATATAAATATGAACATGAAGCAAAGGCCTTTATAAAGTAGAACCCAATGTTTCATTGTTTCAATGCATTTTGTTATTAAATAAATAAGTATTGTGAATTACATTGAAACTACTGAAATCTGCAAGTCAGCATCTGTTCCTTTTAAGGCAACAACTTGAATTTGTCATTATTATTATTATTGTTAGAGGCTACAGAGTCTTTTTCTGTGCTTCAGTCAGGAATGTAATTTGAATTTGCCACTGTCTGCCTACCCCGGACCTGTTATTGGCTTCCTGTTTCTATGTGTGTTCAATGCTCATCATCTCTGGACACAGGCGAGCAGCTAATATTGCTAAGAATATCACTCTGCACAAACTTGCCATTTCTTTGTTTCCTTTGTAAATCATTATGCTAATAATATCAATCATTCCCCCCCCCCCCCCCCCGTGTTCCCCTGAAATTTCATGTGTGGAACTGAGCTGATACAATGAAATGGACCAAAGATGCAGACGCCTTTTTTTACTTCTTGCCTGGCTAAATTTACCCTAGGATACCTCAGAGGCAACTAGCCATTCAGGACATACACTTCTTGACCGTGGCACGTGCGTGTTCAACTTCCTAGCGCTGACTTCCCCACTGTTACCACTGACAGTGAACTCCTCGGCGGGCGAGAGGAGCGGCCCCCCTTCACACACAATCAGCACCAGCTGTAGTCCAATTAAACTCAACAGTGAACAGGTGTTCACTGTAATGACTTCCACACAAAAGCACGCTTCCATTTAATACTCTTTGCATCCGATACACTAACAGCCCCAATGAAAGGGAGTAGTAGAAAAAGAGATGGAGTTCAGTGTAGGGAAAACAGCAACCCCCAGACTCCTTCACAATCAGCATCAGAAGCCCCAATTAGCCTCAACATTTCCCAGGTGTCCGCGGGAGGGTATTTTTATGCAGAACATATTCAAGTCAATTGTCTCTCAAGAACTTCTTTGAAGACATTTTGAAGTTTTGCAAATTCAGCCAGCTTGCTCATATTACTGTTACCACCACTATTTAATGGCTTTCAGGATTCTACCCTGCTAGACATGCATGGGCAGAGTATATATTTTTTAAAGTTTGTGTATTGATTTTGAGAGAGGGGGAGGGGCGGAGAGTGAGGGAGAGAGAGAATCCCAAGTAGGTGCCGCACTGTCAGCGCAGAGCCGGATGAGGGACTTGAACTCAGGAGCCGTGAGATCACGACCTGAGCAGAAATCAAGAGTCAGACATTTAACCTACTGAGCCACCCAGGTGCCCCGGGCAGAGGTATTAATCACACTCCTGTAAATCCTAAAAATGCTCTCATCCCATTTGATGCTCTTCCTCCCAAATTCTTTTATATTCCAGGTCAGTGTTCCGTTTGAAATGGAGAAATCTAGGAAGCACTTCTTGGGAGGAGACGCCTGCAAGTGTTCTTACTCCTATCGGGTTCCATCAGTTATTGAACGTCCACAGTGTGCGTTGCCAGGGAGAAGAGGAAGGACGACAGACACATCGCCTGCTGCTGGGAATCAATGCGGGACTGGTTGACAGCTCAGGACCCAATCAGAGTCACTTCCGTGGCCCACCCCAGGCTTGATGGAGGCTGGCTAATTACAGGGGACTCTGGTAAGTGAGTTGGTGGCCCTCTGGCCAGACCCCTCACCCTATGGCGTGGTGGCCACTACCAGTGGTGGCCCTTCTCTGACTTTGTGTTTCACAGAGATTCGTCGCCTCTAAGGACAGGGGAGACATGGGGTGAGCAGGTCCGAGAATTCTGAATTCTGCCTCTCGGTTCAGTCAAGGAGTTAGACACATTCCCAACGTACCGTACAGATCCTGGTGCCGAAAGCTATTTTTCAGTTTCTCCGGAACCAATTCGATAACTCACACCAGAAGGAAACCTGTGTAAAAACCAATCTCAGGGGGCGCCTGGGTGGCGCAGTCGGTTAAGCGTCCGACTTCAGCCAGGTCACGATCTCGCGGTCCATGAGTTCGAGCCCCGCGTCGGGCTCTGGGCTGATGGCTCAGAGCCTGGAGCCTGTTTCCGATTCTGTGTCTCCCTCTCTCTCTGCCCCTCCCCCGTTCATGCTCTGTCTCTCTCTGTCCCAAAAATAAATAAACGTTGAAAAAAAAAATTAAAACAAACAAACAAACCAATCTCAGATGTGGAGCAAATGCTGGTGAGGGTGTGAACTGGTAGAATCACACTGGAAAACGAGTGGGTTTCCATAACCAAAGCTGCACTTGGGAGCAGATAGCTCCATTCCCAGTTACGATTGCAACAGTGTTGGTGGTAGGCAGACACTAAGATGTGACCTTCTTCTAACCAGCAAAATACAACAATTATGATGGGATATGGCTTCTCTGATTACGTTTCCTAAAACTGTAACTTCTATCTTGCTAGCATGTTCTCTCTATTGCCTTCTTGGCTTCCACGCTTTGATGTCGGAGAGAGAGCCTTATATGGCACGGAACTAAATGTGACCTTTGGCCAATAGCCAGCTAGGCACTGAGGCCTTCAGTCCAATAGTCTTCCAGAAATTGAGTTATGCCAACCGCAGTGGGAGCTTGGAAGTAAATCCTTCCCCAGTTTGGACTTCAAATGAGATCCCAGCCCTTGCTGACACCTTGATTCTGCTTTGTGAGGGACCCTGAAGCAGACGATCTAGCTAAGCTGTGTTCAGACTCTTGATTCACAGAAACTGAGATAATGTGTGTGGTTTGAATTGTGTGGTAATTGGTTCCACAGCAATAGGTAACAAATTCAGAGATGCTTACAAATGTGCACCCAGGGACACGTATACGAATTTTCATAGCAGCATTCTTCGTGATACCCAAATCATAAAGAACTCAAAAGTTCATGGACGATAAAATGGATAAGTACATTGTAGTATATTCATAGAGTGGACCACTGTAAGCGCTGTGAGAGTAACTAACCCTAGCTACCTGCAACGATATGGGTGAGTCTCACAAGTAATTGGGTGGGAAAAACCAGACACAGAAGAGTACACACTGTATGGTCCAATTTACATAAAGTTCTACAACAGGCAAAACTAATCTGTCATCCTGTTTGAAACTTAGGATGGCGACTCCTTTGGGGGTTAGGTAGCTACAGGGAAGGTACATAGGGAAGCTTTTGAGATGCTGATAAATGTCCTGTTTCTTCAATCTGGGGGCTGGTTACAGGACTGGTTTACACACGTTTATGTACGTATTTGGTTATAAATTAAAAAGTTTTTACAACACCGCCTTTCTTTTTCTAGCAGGTGATCTTTTCAGCACGGGATATTCATAGATGTGTGCTCAGAGGGGTGCATTATCTTTGCAGGCACAGTGTCAGTCATACATCAGGAAAGGAGAGCATTGATTTCAAATGCCTCATTTAACAGAAGAGGTAAAGTGAGTTGCAGAAGTCAAGCTTCCAATCATTTGTCAGAGCTGCAAGTGCAAAGCAGGTCTCTTGTATATTCTGGTTCGATGTGAGTGCAGTCTGGCTGTGGACCATCTTTCATGGTTCTCCATGCTTGAGTCCCTTTCTTCACCACCCTGTGAAATTGCCTGTTGATGTTGCAAACTGAGTTAAAGATTGCTTTCCCAGACTGACCGGTGTCTGGCTTGGGCTTGGGCTTTAAACTGACCAGTATCCAAGAAGGAGCTTCTTGGTATCCTGTTTTCATGCTTCTACCTTGTTCTGTTGCACTGGAACCCTCCTTGCCATTTGTTTCCAGGCCTGTTTCTTGCACCATGGCTAGTGATCTTTACCTGACCCTCTATCCACAGTCTGGTTCTCACCCAGCACAACTGAAACTCAATACCTTTCCTGGTGCTGAACTTGGCGAACTTTCTTGGCTTTGATTAGGACTCATCTTTCAGTGTGTATTTGCTGCTAGCAGCTCTGGGTTATGACCTTGACTGGGAAGCCTGCAATCATCTTACTGAGTCTGCCTCAGTCTCTGCAAAAGAGGAGAGAAGTATTTTTTTTTTTCGATCAAAGATCTACAAATATTCAATATCTCCATGTTCCAAATAAGTTCTTACATTCCATTTTAGGAAAATATCTGCTGGTGTAGGCAGAGAGGAGCATGAACTACCTGCCTTTCCCCCCTTTTCTCTTTTCTAAGATCTGAGACCTATGTTATAAAATCAACACAATGAATGAGATCAGACATATACAAATACACCTTAGAGACAAAGAGTCAGCCATGTCATAAGAAGGCAAAGGATGGATGTGACAATAACCCCATTGATGGTCTGGCTAAAGAAAGAATATGTCAGTCAGAAAGAATATGTCAATCAGAAAGCTGGTGGGCACAGAACTTGGAGGACAAGCCAGAGGGAACCCTGAAAACCTGGTATGAATGTTCCAGGGGTAATGGCTTCATCAGGTCCCAGCCATGTGATGCCGTTAAGCTTTCAAGTCATCTAACTAAACTGTCCTTGCTCTGATTCCAGACTCACTAAGGAGATTTCCAATTATAATCGACTTCCTGTGTAGATTTTCTGTAGGGAAAAAAGGTGCTGGGGAGAAGAGTGTGAGTATTTGATCTTTCTGACAACTGCACATCCCCTTGTTGATAGAGGTATCGACATTTTGGTGAGAAGTTTTGGTGTTTTCTGAATTTAGTTCACAGAAGTCAGCTCTCCCAAGGCAGGCAGATCCTGGAACACTAACAAGATTGAATTTTTGGACTTGCACATCTTCTGGCCAGACCTCGGACTGTGAAAAATTCATTAAGATAATGCCACTTTGGAAGGCCTCTTGGTAGACAGCCAGCCAGCCATTTCCTGGTAATATTCAACATGGCTTTGGGCCCATTTTCAAAATCATGATGGTACCTAACTGGATTGAGAGGATGAGAAAGGGAACAGAGAGAAGAGGAGATAAATTGGGTAGTCCATTCAAATTGGTTTCCATCGAGGCTACAGATGGAAATGGAATCTTATTGAAAATGGACTACTTATTTGTTTCTTAAATGAGGATAGATACCCTTCTGGGAATATGTGGTAATTTTCTTGGGATGAGTAAAGATAGGCGATAAAACTCAGCACAACTTTCTGGAAGATTAACTTTTCTCCCTGGTTTGGGGAGATGGAGAAGTTAAGACATTAACTAAAGAGGTAAAATTACCCAGAGTTTGTTGCTGGGTAATCAGGGATTATATTTACCAGCTTCTCTTGCATTTAATTGGGGCCATGTGATGACATTTTGCTCAAGGGATGTGGGGAGGATGGCTGTTAATTTTGGGCTGAAGCAATTAAGCACTTCTCTCCCCATCTCACAGTTGAATGGAGAGGTTGCAGAGGCTCTGAAGGAGGGTAGAGTCACAAGGCCACAGGGCAGGTTGTCCACCCACCAGCCACACCCACACAGACTTTAGGTAAGTGAATATACATCTAAAGTGTTAAACCACTGAGGGTTTGGGCTTGATCAGTTACAACAGATAACATTACTCTCATAGAACTGAGCAGTGATTTAAATATTTCTACATGAAAACAAATAGTCATATAATAGCATATGAACTTTACATGAATTCTTAAATTCATGAAAACCGAAGCTTCAAAGACCTATGTTGCTCATGGCAGGCTGTTGGCACATCCCTTGGTGCCTACAGAGTGACACGTTCACTCTCCTCTGTGGTTGGGGGAACTTGATGCTTGATAAAGGCCAGAAAAATTCACATAATAGGGAGTAAAAGCTGTGGTGGTCCTCCAGACTGTAGAGTCTGTAGTATATGCTCATTCAAGCCAAGATCGAAGTAGGCAAAGTTAGATTTCAGGTAACCTCTTTCCAGTCCCCTACCCTCAAACTCCCATGGATAATACTGCCTATCAATGTATTGGCCTGCTTTTTTTAAGGCAAAACCCTCATGTTTTGGACTCTTACTAAATTGTGAATGTTCATTTCAGTTTATGTTCCCTTAGGAGCCTATGAGGTGAGGCTGATATGTCCAAAGAGTTCAGGCTAAGTGGCAGGTATGGCAAATACATGGCATTTCTCATACCAATCTCCTTTCCACATCCCTGCAGTCATTGGTGATTTTGGCATGGTACTACTTTCTAGTGAGCCAGGTGGGGCTTCACAGCCTTCTCAGGCCAGAGCTCCAGGCACTCCTATGAATCTATCAGTGCTGGCTCTTGAGTTGGATTCAACTTGCCATTCTGGATGAAAGGTAGATCATAGTAGTTTCATGACTATCTCTCCTGGACAATATTTGCCTTCCAACACTTCTCTTTACTCCCTTAATCTAGTAGAGGAACCTGGAAATTTCTAGCACACTGGCAGCTCCAGTAGGGAAGAGAGTTGGGACAGGGACCATTTTTCCATTGCTCTTTGGATTATACCACTAACCTGCTTCCTTTCAATTGGATTTAATTAAATAGTTACTGTATTTATTTATTTATTTATTTATTTATTCATTTATTTATTTAGAGAGAATGTGAGTGCACAGGGGAGGGGCAGAGGAAGAGGGTGAGAGAGACTCTCAAGCAGGCTCCACCCTGGGTGTGGAGCCCAACATTGGGCTTGACCCCACGACTGGAAGATCATGAAGTGAGCCAAAATCAAGAGTTGGATACTCAACCAACTGAGTCACACAGATGCCCCAATAGATACCGTATTTATTTCACTTACAGTAAAGCAGGCTTTATCTAGCAAATCACACTTAACTCCATTACCAGCAAGTTTTTATTGAGTACCTGCTGTGTACATGGCAACAAACTAAGTGCTCAGAAGTTTCTTCTGTGATTATGTTGACTTATAATCATCATATAGGGTAGCTCTGTTCTCTCTCTCTATCTTTCTTCCCATTTTTTCTCTGGGTTCCTGACTTCCTGGAGGAACCCTCTTGTTCTGCTGTCCACACCACCTGAGCTGTCTTGACTGCACTCAGACCCCTCTCATTGCCCTTCCTCAAGCGTGCTGTGTGGAGAGAGCACTTTTTCACTGTGCTGGCTGTGAGGACAGGTTTGCCCTACTCTTCCCCTCCTCAGTGTTTCTAAGCCATGGCTTTCTCATGGGTCCACAACTCTCCCTGAAGGGACCCAGTAGTCTCTGCTGGTGGCCCATCAGACTGTTTTGTCACAACCTCCTTCAGTGCTGCTTCACTGAAGTGCTGCTGGGGCAAAAAGAGCAAGTTTTAAATTTCCCTCTGTCTCTGTCTCTCTCTCTTTTTTTGAGGGGAGGAGACTTCCGTGGGTAAGATTTCTTTCCCACCCACCCATTCCACATCAAGTTATAGACCAGTAAGAGCAGATAAATCTCTTTCCCACCAGTGAAATGTGTTTAACTAGATGAGTGTGGCCGCCAAGCAGAGCTGTAGCCATCCTGGCAGCTGCAGGAGAGATTGGGGGAAGGCAGCTGCCAGGAATTAGGGTTGGACACATGCCTCCAGGTGACAGCCACATGCATGGACCCAGTTACTAATGCTCCCACTTAAACCTTGGAAACAGAGTTAGAAAGGCACAGCCAGGTGGGCAGAGGGCAAACCTCAGCTTCCCCCAGCTGGGGCTACCTGTTGGGTGTTGGGATTCCATAAGGCTGAGCTATGGGGGGAATGGGACTTTGGTGCCTACCCTGCTAGCTGTGGACACCACACCACAGTGGGAAGGGCTGAAAACATATGATTAGTTAATGAAAACTTGGATTTTGCAGAAAACAGTCAAATCTGTGGAAGGGTGGCAGCTGCTACTTTGAGCTAAAGCCCTAGGCAAGCCCTAAAGTTGTGGGATCTGCATATTTCCCTCACCCCTACCTAGGAGGCCAGCATAGAGCAGTCATTGTAGGGCTTTCCTGGAGGCATCAGGAAGCGAGGGGTAGTGATTTGTTTAGATTTGTCTGGATAGTTGCAGGTTGCCAAATCACACAGACAGCTGCAGTCAGTTGCTTTCTTCATGCTGTTCAATCCATGCCATGCACTTTATCAGCTGCATCTCTGCTCTCCCCTGGACATCTTGGGAAATTATCACAACTTCATAGGCAGGGTTCTGAGTTGGCTCGTTTTCTGCAATATTGCTCATTTGCTCAACTACATTGTTAGCTGGAAGATGATAACTGACTTCAGCTTCATTTTTCCAACTTGAGCATTTGTTTATGGAATCTATGTAGGAGAACAACAGACTATGTGCATCACTCTTTCCCCGCCTCAACATGCCTTTTTCCAGAAGTAGTGGTGATAGGAGTGAGAAAGAGAAATTCAATTACATATGCACCAGGAATTTGACATAATAGGAATTCCGTGGGCAGCCTGGCTTTATCTGCCCAGAATTCCGCTGGATAAAAGCAAAACACTTTTTTTTTTTTTCATGAATCCCTCTTTTTGGTCACTTTCCTGATAGGGTAGGGGTAAAGTCTGGGAGCTGGCCTTTGTTGTTGCCTTTCTATCTTTTGCAAGGGTCAACCTGCAATGGTCCTATTTATATTTATAGGAGGCTGTGGCCCTGGCACAGAGTGGAGTATGGAAGTTAGGCTGTTTGTAAGAAGTTAGGCAAGAGTTGGTAAGTTTCCCTTCCTTGATCATCAATTTGGCTTAAATCAAATCATGGAATCTTACCACTGAGTGGAACCCTATTTAAATCCTTTCATTTTATAGATAAGAAACCTGAAGTGCAGAGAGATGAGTTACATTGATAAAGATCTAGATCAGTGGCAGTGATGTCCAAGTTTATCAGGTATCCAGGCTTATGGAGTTTCCAGGTGTATCAGGTCTCCAGGTATACCAATTATGTTTTCTGGGCACAAACAACAGAAACCAACTCTGGCAACTTTACTGGAAGTTTATTGAAAGTTTATCTGGAAGGACACTGGAAGCTTCCAAAGATGGCAAAGAACCTAGAGAACCAGATCTGAAAATGGATTTGAGACAAGGCATCTCAGAAGGCTAGGATGGGAGGCACTGAAGGAGCATCTGCTATTAGGAGAATTTGGCCTCCACTTTCTCAGTCTCGTGTAACTCTACTGACTTCTCAGTTTACTTTTGCGAGAGCAAAATTAAGACAGGTCATTTGGCTGCACCTTGGCTAGGGGAAAACATGGTACCTGATAATAGTCACAGAAGAGAATATCCAATGGAGAGGAAATGATTCTCTTAAAATCTCAGTGCCTTTCAGAAGGTCCTTTGGGAGGACTTCAAAACAAATATCCACAACATTTGCCCACCAACCTCTTGGTTTCATACATTGGTTCATGGAGGGCTTTTTGACACCTCTGTTCATTATAGAGCTTACCAATTTTTTTTTTTCAAAATACCGCATAAATCCATGTCTCTATAGCCCTTACCTGGGGCAGAGCCTGTTCATTATCTCCCAGTAGCCGTTGTCTTCTTCTTCCCTTTAGACCTCAATCATCTTGAAATTCATTCAGATAACATGGTCTGCCCAAGTGGAGATATTTGCCTTTGCAATTAGATGTGCCCAGGGAACTATGTCTAAATCAACAGGAGGTAAGTTAAAGAGATGATGTGATCCCTAGGGTATCTCCTTTCAAAAGAAATTACTTGTAGTCTCTCTGCCCTTTCTCTCACCTTAGGTTAACATAATTAGAGTATTCATGATCCTTCCTTGGCCCATGCTTGGCTATCTATCCATTCATAAGCCCAAGTGTATTTATTTTTTATGCTATAGGCCACTGTGAACACATGTCACAGCACAAAAACTAGAATTATGAAAATATGTTACATTTATGGTTTCCTCCAATCTGCTTTCTTGCCTTCTCTCAACCTAAGTAACCAGCATTCTGAGTCCTGTATTTATCATTTCTTTGCTTGCTTTTTTAGATTGTTTTATCTTGTTATATGTCAGGGTTTGATCATAGAAACAGAACCACAGGAGTGATATAGAAGATGGAATTTATTACAGAGATTCAACTCCATGTAGTTGCCCCAGCTAGTTAAATTATTGCTATATGGTTATTGTTTGGTGCTGGACCTAGACCAAGAGTTGGAGAAGCTGAAGGAAAAGACCTAGCAGGAGCTGAGGAGGTATGGCTTCAACTGATGCCCCAGGAGCTGCACTCGCTGGGCCAGGATTCACAGAAGGTCGAGGAGAAAATGGAGTTGCTGTGGACTCACCTGCTGCCACATGTCAACATGATGAGCCAGCAGGTCTGTGGCAATGTGTGGGTTGCAACAATGCCTGGTACCTTGTATCAGCCTCTGAACATAAGGAAGGCCCACCTTCTAAATATTGTTCAAAATATCTTCTGAGGGCCTTGCCAACCCAGAACTATGCAGGAAAGGGAATTCTGGGAAATGTAGTTCTAGCTTGTAGTTAAGCTGACATAGCATAAATTGATCCACATGTACAAAGGAAACTTTTTAAAAAGTTGCTTTTAATTTGATAAAAAGCATATTATGCCGCATATATCCATTTAGGACTTGCTCTTTAACAACTCAACATTATGTTTTTAGGATTTATTCATACTGCTGTGTAAAGCTTTAGCTTAATCTTGTTGACCTGTTGTATACTATTGTGTGAATGCATCATAGTTACTTCATCTACTCTCTTGTTGATGGGTATTTGGATTATTTCCAGGTGTTTAAGTTAGCTTGGGCTGCTATAACAAAGTATCAGGGTTTGGGTGGCTTCAACAACAGATGTTTGTTTCTCACAGTCCTAGAAGCTGGGAAGTCCAAGATCAAGGTGCTGGCCATTCAGTTCTCAGTGAGGTTCCTCTTCCTGGCTGGAAGATGGCCACCTTCTTGCTTGTCCTCACATGGTAGAGAAAGAGAGAGCTCTGATTTCTCTTCTTGTAAGGACGTTAATCCCGTCATGGAGGTCCCACCCTCACGACTTCATGATCTAAACCTATTTACCTCCCAAAGACCTCACCTTCAGCTATCACACTGGGGGAGTTAGGGCTCCCACATATGAGTTTTGTACAGACACAAACATTCAGTCCATATCACCGGGTTTTGCTCTTGCAAGCAGCATTACTAAGAATGTCCTTGTGGCTGTCACCAGGTGTTCAAGGGCAGAAGTCTCTCATAATTTCACGCCAGTAGTACAGCTGCTGGGCCTGACGTGGGGAGACCTTGCATCTTGGTTTTCCTGGGACAATACGAGTTATGCTTATTGTCCAAGAATGATAATTTTTTTTAATTTTATTTTTTATTTTTTAAAATTTACATCCAAATTGGTTAGCATATAGTACAACAATGATTTCGGGAGTAGATTCTTTAGTGCCCCTTACCCATTTAGCCCATCCCCCCTCCCAGAACCTCTCCCATAACCCTGAGTTTGTTCTCCATATTTATGAGTCTCTTCTGTTTTGTCCCCCATTTGCAACTACGGTGGAAGAATGATTAGTATATATTGCCCTTATCTTTTCCCTACTTGCTGCTTGTTTTCACTTTCATTTGACAAACAGAAGTTTTATTTTTTTAATTTTTAAAAGTGTTTATTTTGAGAAAGAGACAGTGTGAGCAGAAGAGGGGTGTAGAGAGAGGGAGAAACAGAAACCCAAGCAGGCTCTGTGCTGTCAGCGCAGAGCCTAATGTGGGGCTTGATCTCACAAACATGAGATCACGACCTGAGTGGAAATCAAGAGTTGAATGCTTAACCACCTGAGCCACTCAGGGGCTCTGACAAATAAAAGTTTTAAATTTTAGTATTGCCAAATTTATAAATGTTTGTATGGTTAGCATTTTTTTTTTTTGAGTATTGTTTAAGAAATTCTTCTCTATCTCAGTCGGAAAGATATTTACCTATGATTTTTGTTAAGACTTTTAATATCTTAGTTTTTGTAGTTAGGCTCTTAATACATGTGGAGTTAATTTTGGTATATGTTGTGATAGAGGAATCTAATTTCATATTTTTCTGCGTGGATAACCTTTTTTTTTTTTTTTTTTATCGTATCTTGCTGTATTTATTTTCTCACCGATCTGGCAGGCCACCTCTGTCCTACACCAAAGTTTCATACGTGTGTGGGTCTATGTCTGAGCTCCATATTCCATTTTATGCCCTGTTTGTCTGACCCAGTCCTGATATCATCCTGTCTTAATTATTGTAGTTTCACAAAAAAGCATGGTACCTGGTGGGGCAAATCTTCCCTGCCTGCTCTCTGCTTCATAAAACCCCAGGGTATTTTTTTTTTTTTTTCCTTTTACTCTTTCATTGAAATTTTAAAATCAGTTTACCACGTTCCATGAAAGTGCATGTTAGTGTTTTGCTTAGAACTTTATTGAACTGGGGAGATAGACAAGACTATGCAATTGCCTTCCTATTCACAATGTGATCTATCCTTTCATTTCCTTGGCTCATCTTATTGGCTACTAATAAAGTTTTATCATTCTCCCTGTACAGGTTTTACATATATATTTATATTTATTTCTAGGTTCTCGGGATACTTTGAAACTGTTGTAAATTTTGTCTTCTTTTTAATTACGTTTTCTGGTTGTTTATTCCAACAATACAGAAATGCAATTGACTTTCACTAAACTTGGTTACTATTTCTAATAATTTGCTCATAGATCTTTTTCGCTTTTCTGGGCAAACAGTTATGCAGTTATGTCACCTGAAAATAATGACAGTTCTATTTCTTCCTTTATATTTCTTCCTTCTTTTTTCTTTTTCTTTTTTTTTCTTCTTCTTCTCCTTTTGTTGTTGTTGTTGTTGTTGTTGGCCAAGACCTTAAATATCATGCAGAATAGAAATGATAAGGCTGGACTGTCTTGACTCAATTTCTGATTTTAAAGAGAATTATTCTTTAAAAAAATTTTTTTTATGTTTATTTTTGACAGAGAGAGAGAGAGAGAGAGAGAGACAGAGCATGAGTGGGGGAGGGGCAGAGACACACACACACACACACACACACACACACACACACACACACAGACTCTGAAGCAGGCTCCCTGGAGCCTGTTAGCACAGAGCCTGAGGTGGGGCTCGAACTCACGGACCATGAGATCATGACCTGAGCTGAAGTCGGACGCTCAACCGACTGAGCCACCCAGGTGCCCCTAAAGAGAATTATTCTAGTGTTTTCCCATTTCGGATGAAGTTTTAAAGTTATTTTAAAATAACTTTCAGGCTAGGGAATTTCCCTCCATTCTAGGTTTGCTGAGATTTTTTTGAAAAATCTTTATTATGGTAAAATATATATAACATAGAATTTGCCATTTTAACTATTTTAAGCATACAATTCAGTGGCCTTACCTTCACACTGCTACATAACCATCACCACTGTGTTTTTCCAAAACCTTCTCACCACCCCAAAAAGAAACTCTGTAGCTACTAAGTAGTAACGTCTTCCACTCCCCCACCAGGCCTTGATAATCTCTAATCTACTTTCTGTCTCTATAAATTTGCTTATTCTATATATTTCATATAAGTGGAATCATACAATATATGCTCTTTTGTGCCTGGATTCTTTCAGCTAGTATCAAGTTTTGATGGTTCATCCATGTCATATCATGTATCAGAACTTCATTCCTTTTTATGGTTGAATAATATTCCATTCTGTGTCTAAACTACATTTTGTTAATCCATTCATCTGTTCATGGACACTTGGGTTGTTTCCACCTTTTGGCTATTGTGAATAATTACTTGAGTTTCTTTTTTTTTTTTTTTTGACTTGAGAGAGAAAGAGAGAGAGAGAGAGAGGGAACGAACACATGAGCAGGGGAGAGGGGCAAAGGGAGAGAGAGAATCTCAAGCAGGCTCCACGCTCAGCCGAGGTGGGGCTCAATCCCACAACCCTGGGATCAAGACCTGAGCCAAAATCAAGAGTCAGATAGATGCTCAACTGGCTGAGCCACCCAGGTGCCCCAAGAGTTACTTTTTAAATCATGACTTTATGTTGAATTTTATAACTGTTTTGTTTGTGTCTGTTGAAATGATCGTGGATATGTGTTGTCTTTTGCTCTGGTAGCATGTGAATGACAGTTCAAGTCATGCGCGGTCTCCATCACTTTACTGGCCATCAGCCCTTTCTCAGGAAGCTTCTGGAGGATATGCTCCACCAAACTGAGGTTGTAAACCAAGACATGGGAGGAAGACATGGGAGACAGGAAACAGAAGACTCAACAAAGGAGAGAGGAGGAGCCCTGTGACAACCATGTACCCAGAACTGAGGTGCTGAGGGCAATCTGGAACAGGTCAGATGGACCCAGTAGGGATTTATTCAGTAAGATGACATTGAGAGTCTCTCTGTGCATTCATAAACATGGAAAAGAGGAGAGTGTTGAGTTGATTAGTGGTAACAATGTTAATCACAAGAAAGCAAAATGTTAATGTCAGACAAAACGGAAAAAAAAAATGTGTGCAGGCAAGAAAAAGTAATCATGGGATAGCTCGTGGCTCATCTGTAAAGAGAGTTTATTTAGTCATAGATATAAACACAGAATATTAATCGATCTAAAAATGTGATGCAGTGTCTTGGAGAATTGAGGGCAGGAGGAGTGCATGTGTGTGGTAGGGATGGAGGCATCTGACAAAAAAAGAGCTAACTCCTCAGCTCCCATAGTGAGAAGTCTGTGCATAATGCCTAAAAAAGAACAATCAGGACTTAGAAATACAAACATGTTATTTGCTGATATGGACATAAATACCCAAAGAACTCATGGAAAGAATTGAAATCAGTTGCCTCTGGGGAAAGGATAAAGGGGGGCAGGGGCTGATATTTGTGGCAACAAGTCTAATTTTTTTACAGTTTATTTAGAGAGGGAGAGAGAGAGAGAGAGAGAGCTGGGGAGGGGCAGAGAGAGAGGGAGAGAGAGAGAATCCCAGGCAGGCTCCCCGCTGCCAGTGCAGATGCTGAGGCGAGGTTCGATCCCACAAGCTGTGAGATCATGACCTGAGCTGAAATCAAGAGCTGGACACTTAGCCAACGGAGCCACCCAGGTGTCCCTGCAACAAGTCTTAAGGAACTATTTGGCTCTGTAAATTTTGTGCCTGTATAACTTTGACAAAAACTAAATTAAAAAGAAATGAGGGGTGCCTGGGTGGCTCAGTCGGTTGGGCGTCTGACTTCGGCTCAGGTCACGATCTCGCGGTTTGTGAGTTCGAGCCCCACGTCGGGCTCTGTGCTGACAGCTCGGAGCCTGGAGCCAGCCTCGGATTCTGTGTCTCCCTCTCTCTCTGCCCCTCCCCTGCTTGCACTCTGTCTCTCTCCCTCTCAAAAGTAAATATACATTAAAAAAATTTTAAAAAAAATGAAACACTTTCTTCTCTATCATCCTTGCATCTAATCAATCACCAAGTGTCTCCAGAATGTACCTCAAATCCACCCTCTTCTTACATCTCTTTTATTCATGTGGCTCTTTGAACTTCTGTCTGTTTCAAAGGAAAGTTTTAAGGAACTATTCAAATAAGCACGTGACTCTTTAAAATCAAGAGGAACCAAGGTTTATTTATTTATTTAAAAAATTTTTTTAATGTTTATTTATTTTTGGGACAGAGAGAGACAGAGCATGAATGGGGGAGGGGCAGAGAGAGAGGGAGACACAGGATCGGAAGCAGGCTCCAGGCTCTGAGCCATCAGCCCAGAGCCCGACGCGGGGCTCGAACTCACGGACCGCGAGATCATGACCTGAGCTGAAGTCGGATGCTTAACCGACTGAGCCACCCAGGCGCCCCACAAGAGGAACCAAGGTTTAAAATGAGATTTCGGAAGGAGAACAGGCCCATAGACAGGCATCCTATCAACTTCCTGCCTCTAACCTGAATCCACACCTATCCCCGCTTGTCTCCTGCTTCAGTGAAGAAGGCTCTCCTCCCACCTGAGAACCATTTCCTGCTATCAGCCTCTTATACCTCCAGAGGCATTTACTTCACTTTCTTGATTATCTCCTCTCCTCTGGCCCCTTCCTATGAACATTTCAACAAACCTTTGTCTCCACCACCCCCCCTTTTTTTTTTAAATACTTCCTTGATCTCTCAGCTCCTTCAAGCTACAATTGTACTCTTTTACTCCATTCATCCTTTCAGTATTTGTTGAGTGCCTACTCTGAGCTGCTCACTGTTTCGGGCCCAGGGCCTCAGTCCTTGCTCCCAGGGCGCTTTTAGCCTAGTTGGGGAGTTTATAGTCTAGTTGGGGAGGTCAACCTTAAACATCCACACAAATAATTCGTTGCACTTGTGTTAAGTGATACTGCAGAGGAAAGTGAAGTGGGTACAAGAGAGTGTAATAATGAAATCCAATCTCATGGGGAATCAGAGGAGAAGGTGAGGAACCAGAAAGCCTTCACTGAGGACATGCCATTTAAGCTGAGCCTTGAAGGAGGAGTACAAGTTGATTGGTCTGGGGGTTGAGATGGGGTGGAGGGAAGAATGAACTCTAGGCAGAGGGAACAGTGTGGATGATTGACCCTGATTTTGGAAGGCCTGAAAGGGGAACCGTGTGGCTGAGTTATGCTGAGCAAAGGGTTGGTGACACCAAGTCAACTTGTGTTCGGTTCGAGGGATGGGCAGGGGTCTCTTTAGGCCTCAGTGAGGATTTGGGATTTTAGCGCAAATTCTTTGAATCAACATTCGCTTAGTCATCCCGTATTCACTCATCCCACCACACCTCTTTCCCACCTTAGTGAAAATCCTGTTTCTAGGTCACTAATGAGCCCTGTTGCTAAATTCAGTGGACTTTGTCTTTCATGTAATTCACTTACTTTCATTCAACAACTATTCAGGGAATCCTGACCCTGTTGACTTGTCTCTGGAATTATCCACTTTCCCTGACTTCTGTTTTTCTCTTACTTTTTAGTTAGTTTTTTGTCTTTTTTTCTCACCTTTTTCTGCCCACTCTTAAAACGTTGGTGTTTCTATAAAGTCCGTCCTAAGGGCTCTCTGATCTTCTCACGGTACTAGATGTATTTTAGATCGTCAAATTCTCTCTGTTCTGGTCCTGTAATTGCATGACTCCTTTGGTCTTGAATGCTTTTTCTCTCCACCCTTCTACTTCTGCTGGTGTTTCTCTCCATTCTTTGGCTTCCGCTTAATTGCAGCCTCCACGAGAAAGTGGTTTCTCTGAGTGGATTTATAAACTACCATGGTTTCAAAAAGCTCATACGTGCTCTTGACTCCCAACTGTGGCTACAGAACCCAGATTTCCTTCCTGAGCTGTGGACCTACGCATTCCACTCCCTATCTAACAACCACATGTGAATGTCCTTCTGACACCTATAGGCCAACCTGTGCAAAACAACTTTTCTTCCTTCCATATCTGCTCCTTCTCTGGGCTTCTCTGTGTGCATGAATTACATGATCATTCACTTATTTGCTTGAGCCAGAGTGTCATCATTACCTCTCTCTCCCCCAGGCTCCCATTCACCCTACTCTTAAGCCCTTTTGCTCCAAAAGAACTCTGTCCTCTTTCCCCATACCCAGTGCCGTTCATTATCCCAGTCGAGGCAATTATTGATTATCGCCTCTCTGCTTTTTTGGCAGAGACTCTAGCTGGTGCCTTTCTCTGTTATTGCCCTCCTGTAACACATTGTTCACATTGTAGGCAAAGAGATCTTTGGAAAATGCAAATTTCCCTTTCTCCTGTTTCATATCTTATCCTGGCTCCTCAATACCCTTAGCATAAATGTCAAACTCTGTGAAGTAACTTACAAGGCCCCATTAGGTCTGTGGGCTGCTTATCTCTCCAGCATCCACTCTCGTGCACTCTTTCCCCTGCCACAAGGCTGAAACTTTATTTTAGTTCCTCCTTATTTAGTTCTTTTACCACTGGTCCTTGGCACAAGTGTTCCCTTTATCTTGTACACTTTTTATTCTACCCCATCCACTTCGTTTGTTGATTTCTACTTGCCCTTCACCTTTCTGCTTAGATGTTACTGCTACCAGGCAACGTTCTCTGACATCCCTTGCCAAGTTTTGATGAGTGGCCCCTGCTGTGGGCCCCAAAGGATCCTTTATCTCCCTCATCATAGCAATTACTAAACTGGATAGTGATTGGGTTGTTTATTCCCAACTAGGCTGTAAACTATCAGGACAAAGATTATATCTGTCTTCTTCACCATTTTAACCTCAGTCCCCAACCCAGTACTTGGCCCTCGGGATGCTCAGCAAATATTTGTTGATGGACTCGCTGGATGTGTTACCCAATGTTCTTTTGGGACCTGGGGCTCCCTTGCAGGGCCGCGCCAGGGTGAAGAATGTTAAAAGCTGTATTTACGGTCTCATTGTTTTTAAAGTCCACTTGTGGTCTCTGATTGTCTTAAAGTTCCAGAGCATTAGAACTAATGGACGTAGTTCGTTAGCTCCAGATGTGCCCAGGCCAACCCCATGTGCAAACGGGGCACCACATCAAAGGAGGAGGAAGAGGGTACCAGCTGCCAGAGGCACCAACAGCAGGGATGGTGGAGTGACAGAGTACAGAGAGTGGTGAGCTACCCAGAGCAGGGCTGGCTCTGCTCTTGGTTAAAAATCATGCTAGCTTAACTGCACTGGGTTTCATGTGGGACCACAATAATAGAGTCAGGGAGGTTAGGCAGGAAATTCTCAGATCCTCTTAGAGAGATGTTCTCGAAGTGTGGTCCAGGTTCCCTGGTGGTCTGCAAAGCTGGTCTCCTGTCGGGTGAATGTTAATGTTAAGCTTTTGTTGCTGGTATAAGTGAGTAATTATTTATGATGGCGCTCCTTTGGTGTTTCAGTGAAAGCCCTCCCATTCTTCTCTTGAATTCTCCGTTTGCCTGAGGATGGTGAGTAGGAGCTGCGAGGGTGGCATCTTTGTCTCACTGTGAGCAGGGACGTCTGAGAGGCGTGGCCTTGAGGGGTGACTTGGCCAGAAAAGGGATCGAAGCCAGGAAATCATCCCACATCTTTCTCTGTTGCCCCAGAGCCATTCTTCACGGGGCTGGCTGCTAGCCTCTAGCTTCTGGCTGCCTGGAGTGGAAATTGTAGGAGGAGAACTGGAATTACCCAGAAAGTGTGTTTTTTTTTCTGAGACTGCCACAGTGCAGCTACCATTAGGTCAGCAGGAAGCCACTGTTGATGATAGTGGTGATGATAAGGGTAAATGAGTGCTTAGGCTCATCTGTGCAATTTTAGACCAGGCTCTCTGGTAGCAGAAGGGTCTAGTTATTGTTTTCCACTCTTTCTGCTCTGGAAAATCCATTCACTCACTCACTCAGTCATTAGTGTTTTTTTGTTTTTGTGTTTTGAGAAACTATTACGTAGGAGGCCCAGAGCTTGACTCTGAGATAACACTGGTAAAGAAAACAGATTTGGCTCCTGACTTCATGGAACTTGCAGTCTATCAGGGAAGGTGAAGAGCCGCCAGATAAAGACCCAGCTGCTTAATCACAA